CTGGTTGGGAATGTAGAATTGGATGGCAACTTGGGCAGCAGCAACCATGATGTGACTGAGTTACAGATCCCGAGAAAAGGAAGAAAGGAGAGCAGCAGATTAAGGCCTTTAGAAAAGCAGACTGACTTGCTCAGGGAACTGATGAGCAGGATCCCCTGGGAGGCCAGTCTGAGGGGGAAAGGAGTCCAAGAGAACTGTATTTTAAAGAAACCTTACATGAGGCATAGGAACAAAGCATCCCAGTACATAGGAAGACAAGCAAGTTAGCAGAAGACCAGCTTGGCATAGCAGGGAATTCTTCAGCAAGCTAAAACACAAAAAGGAAGTTTACAAGAAGTAGAAACTTCAAAAAATGACTAAGGAGCAGTACAAGAGCATTGCTCAGGTATGCCAGGATTAAGTGAAGAAGGCCAAAGTGCAATTGGAGTTGCAGCTAGCAAGGGATGTGAAGGGTAACAAGATGGGCTTCTACAAGTATGTCAGCAACAAGAAGCAGATCCAGGAAGTGTGGGTCCCTTACTGAATTGGGGAGGCAACTTAGTAATAGATGATGAGAAAAAGGCTGAAGCATTCAATCCTTGCAGCCACCACACTGTCTGCTGTGAGCAGCCCAGGCTCTGTGGTTGGTTGCAGGGGCCTGCCCAGAGCCCAGGCCCGGGCCAGTTGTGGCAGGCAGCTGGGAGGTTGCAAGCAGCTGCACCTGGATCCATGATGCTCCAGCCCAGCTCACTGCCAGCAGCAAGTGCATGCATGCCTCAGAGCTGATGGGGAAGGGGCTGGGGGCATGCCGCCTCAGCATCTTTCCCCCCCATCCAAGGCGCACATGCACCCGCTGCCAGCAACAAGTCAGGGCAGCCAGTGGGGAAGGGGCCAGGGTAGCCGAGCCCCAGCCCCTTCCCCGTTGACTCCAAGATGAACATGGGCCAACAACGGGAGGTCACGGTCAGCAGGGCTAACCGGACCTTATCGTGCATCCACAGGTGCATCTCAAGTAGGGACAAGGAGGTGATCCTCCCCCTCTACGTGACACTGGTCAGGCCACAGCTAGAGTACTGTGTCCCGTTCTGGGCACCCCACTTCAAGTCACAAGAGAAGGCTGAGGGGGGACCTGGTGACCGTCTATAAACTCACTAGGGGGGACCAGAAGGGTTTGGGGGAGACCTTGCTTCCCCTAGCGCCCCCCGGGATAACAAGGAATAACGGCCTCAAGTTGTTGGAGAGTAAGTTTAGATTAGACATCCGTAAGAACTACTTCACAGTTAGGGTGGCTAGGATCTGGAACCAACTTCCAAGGGAAGTGGTGCTGGCTCCTACCTTGGGGGTCTTTAAGAAGCGGCTTGATGCCTACCTGGCTGGGGTCATTGGAGCCGTTTTCCTCCTGCCCAGGCAGGGGGTCGGACTTGAAGATCTATAAGGTCCCTTCCGACCCTACTTCTATGATTCTACGATTCCCTGCTGTCCACCCCAAGGCACGTGTTCACCCACCACTGGCAACAAGCTGGGCTGGGGCTCCACAGTCCTGGTGCAGCTGCTTGCAGCCTCCTCAATGCCTGCTGAAAGGATCCCTGCCTTCCCCCCGCCTTGTCCCCTGTGCTCCAAGACTGCAGTTTTCTACCCTTTTCCTACTTGCCAGTAAGTTTTTTTCTCCTCTCCTAGCAAGCCCACCAAAATCAAGGGCTTGCTGTTTTTCATAGAAAACTCCTGATTTTGTATTTTACACAAAAAACATGAAATTGTGATTTGGTAAGTCCCTAGTGGTTACCAGGAGGATGAAGCTAGACTATTCTCAGTGGTCTCAGAACAAGGAGCAATGGTCTTAAGTTGCAGCAAGGGAAGTTTAGGTTAGAAATCAGGAAAAAAACTCTCTCACTAGGCGGGTAGTAAAGCACTGGAACAGGTTACCCAGAGAGGTTGTGGAATTTCCATCCCTGAAGATTTCTAAGACCCAGCTAGACAAAAACTTGGCTGGGATGATAAAGTTAGGGAGGTCCTGCTCTGAGCACGGGTTTGGGCTAGACTCTGTCCCTTGCAACCCTAATTTTCTATGATTCTATGATTCATAGAAGACTATGGAAGACAGTAAGAATCATGTTCCTGAGGGTACAAGTGGTTTGCATCCTTCACTGCAGATCCCAGAAGACAATGAAATCATGCAAATGCAAAGAGTGATGGGAGTCCTTCAGCCTCCTCCTCATCAGAGACCCTTCTATATCTGTACCAACCTTACCTGGGGTAGTAAAGTCATTGAGCTAGTAAAGTCATTAAACCATCTTCTTGGCCTAATGTATACTGCACCTAGAGTTGAATCAAAAGAACCCATTCTTTTAACCCATAAATGGGTAACCATAATGACCCCATGGTTGAGTAAGGGGTAATCCATGTAAGAGAGGTTTTACTGATTTGCCAGGACATCAAATTTTTGGCTGTGTTAAGGATGAAACCCTATTAATGTACCTGTGTTTTATGTGACAACCTCTCTGTGGTGCTTATCTGCCTATGCACATTGATATGCAGATTCAGATTGCTGGGAACTGCATCCCTTACCTGAACACCCTTACTGGTACAAGTTCAATGGGAATGGAAACACTTTGTGCTTTTTTAACTGTGATAACATATTTTAACAGTTCTGAATATAGGGGGCCAGGTGAGTCAGGTTTTGTGTGCAGTGGCCCTCCCTTCTAAAAGTGTAAAATTTATAAGGCACTGATGCTGTAAGGAAAAATTGGATAAATGTTGCTGAGGGTTTATGTGGAGATCTAAGGTGGAGGTGGAGCTTAGGTATGACAAAGGAAGCTTGGGAGATTCCCTAGGATTGCACTGTATTTTGCCACCAAGTCTCAAGCAACAACAGCCATGGCAGAGCAGCCCCTGCCCTCCGCCCCTCCCAGTGGTAAAGAATTACAACAGCAGCAGCATAGCAAACCCCCTCCCTCCAAGTGGTGATGAGATATGACAGCAGTGACAGAGCAAAGCCTCCCATGAGAGAGGACACTTTCTAAGACAGAATACTCTGATCAACTGTTAATAGTTGGTTGTGATGGGCTACTGACTATTAAGAGATTTCCCAAGATTGTCTGTTCATCCCATTTATCTTCCCCTTCAATAAACCCTGTTATAGTTTAATATTGTATGTCAGTGAAATACTCTGTGCTTTTATTTTCCCAGGTTTCTAGATGGGGGCGCAAGTCAAAAGAGAAAATTTGTGTAGAGCTTTTAAACTGAACTCAGCTCTTTTTACTGCCATCCTCTGCCTGACAGAAGGCTTACACATACTTAGCCACCAGATATTTTTAGTTCACTTATTTCAGATTTATCAGGTAGTAGGCAACTGTTGCTAGAGAGGCAACACCAAATATCTCAAGAGAGGCTGGACAGATACTTATTGTCTGCAGGTGGAGGCTTTTGAAAGAATGCTATAATGTCATTAAGTTCCTAAAGATCTCCATAGGGAATAGAATAAGAGTTGATTTTTTCAAGCAGAAAAATACTGGGTTAAAGTGAAATTCTTAAATAATAAATCGGACAGAATTGAGCCTTCTGATGCAAAAATACTTGATATAAGCACAATTACAGAAATGGGCTCTTTCATGATCTGAGGTGGAATTAAGAGTTGGAAACATTAAAGAGTGCAATAAGGTAGCCACTTCTATGATCAACATCTAGAATGCTACATCACATTCCAGGTGTTTTGATTTATTTTGGTATATTTGATATATTTTTATATATTTTAGATTTTTAAAATGCATCCTTCCTTAAAGGTTTAGAAAGACTACATATGTGCAATACCCACATTCAAACATCTGAGCAGCTTTGTTTTGCATGTGCATGGAGGCAGAAGATGGGTAACTGGTAACTGTGCTCAGTCATTTCCAATCAGACTTCAGGTTACAGGGCTATCAATTCAGCAACAAACTTCCAGGAACATTATACTCGATAATTTGGAAAGAAATTTAATATACAGTCTCAATGAAAACAAACACTGCAGGATTTAGAATTAGTTTTACTATATAGAAATAATGTTCTTATGCATGCCTGTATCATTCCTATCACATGGTCACCTACAGTTAGCATGAAGCCTCCCATTACTAAGTTGATAATTATGTGGTTTATCACAAACAGGTCTTAGAATGACATCTTACTATGTACATATTACTATCTGGAAAGAATCCAAAAAAAACAAATCAGCTGTGCGTTCTTGGTCACTTGAAAATCTTTTTTAGTCATCAAGCTATTTCTTTTATTAATCACAAACTGTAAGCAATAAAGATCTCAGAAGAAAGGAGTTTACCTTGATTTTTTTTTTAAATCCCTACAAGGAATATTTTCAGCCTTCGGCTTTGCCTCGGGCAGAAATAATGTCAAATGATCTCAAATAAACAGTAAATGCCAGTCCCATACATGACTTTGCTCAATTATTTTTTTCATTTTACGAGTGGGGGACCATACATGTTGGCATCCTTTTCTTTTTTCAACATACCAAAGTTGTCACACAAGAAATGAAGTGTATGGCAAATAGTATGTAGCAAAGAAAAACTAGTATTTCACATTTACCACTTTTGGGCCTCAATAGGACACTGATGACCTGATAGGATGATGATGGAGTGTTTCAAGCCTTATAGATCAACTGTGTTTTATTAAACCGGGAAGAAGTGAATTCTGTTAAAAAAAACCTGTGAAAAGTTAAGTTGCAGCAGAAATTATACCAGTTGTCAGAAAATTCCTCAAAAAATATCTTAAAAATCATAAATCAAGTAATGGTAATTTTTATTTACCATCTTACTTCCAAAATCAAGTAACTTTAAATTAATGTAAAAAATAGAGAACGCCATTTCAATTTTTGCACTCTTCTGTGTAGGTCATGGTCTTATCATGATTATTTCAATTCAGGAGCAATACTTGGTTGACAAGGTACTGCACTGCTGCAGGCTACAATCCTCACACAATGCCTAAAGGGTTATTACAGTGGAGAAATTCTATTGAGGACAATAAAAGAGCCTTACCCCTTCCCGAAGGCACCTCATTAGCACAGTGTAAGCAGCCAAGGGAACAACCCAGCATTCTCCAGGGTGTTCTTTTTTTTCTTCCTGTAATGAAGTGGAAGGAACAGCAATGAAGCTAACGGCACAAATGATATTAACCCTTCAAGGCAAAAAAAAAATCATCACATTAATATTACGGACACAAAAAATGCACCCAGCAGTTTTTTTTTTTAATGTTACTAGCATATGTATTTCAAATTAATAAAATTTAGGAAACATTACATTCTGGAACAATATTTTGATATGCTATTGTTTTTGTGGGCAGCACAAAAATTGATTTTTATTAAATAATTTAAACATGCCCTACAATTTTTAAAAGGTATTTCTTCTAATGTTTCTATTTGTCATTAGCTCAACTGATTCAATTTGCATGCAAAACTGAACCTGAAGTTGTGAAAATCATTTTGATTGCTACAGAACTAGATAATTGATTATTTGAAAAACAAAGTCCAATTATTTAAACAATAATTATGTTTATATTATATCTAGAAACAAGATTTCTTGGGGCCTCTCAATTAAAAAAAAAGAATTTTTAAAGTAAGCATGCCTTTAAAATATATTCAAAAGTTAATCAGTAAAGAGAAAGCTGTTAAAAAAAGGTTAAGTGTGTGAGATACCAGGTAAAGCACATAGAACCTCTCAAGAGATCCATAATGTTCCAAGATCCTTACATGTATGACACTATTATGTCCAACTTTTTAAAAAAGATCAATTCACTATTAACTAAAATAAGACTGATTGCACCTTTAGGAGTAAATAGACTGGTGGGTTTTTGTTTGGTTTGGCTTTTTTAGAAGTAGAGTATTATAGGTAAAGAAAAAGTTGTTTGGCTTTTTCCTTAGCAAAGGGACACATGATGAAAACTTCATATTGTTCCCCTCCTGCATTTGATAACACACAGACATTAGCAACTGATGGAGCACAGCTTTTGCTGGAAAATATTAACGAATAAAAATTAATAAATTATATTAGATTCATAGATGCTAGGGTTGGAAGGGACCTCATAAGATCATCGAGTCCGACCCCAAATCATCAAGTCCAACCCCATGGTATCTTACAAAATGATGGCATCTTACAAAATAAATTTTGATTTTGTGAGATATCCTTATTCTGCAGAGTGTTTTCCTCTAAAAAGTAGCAACTGCTTCTAAAATTATTAAACTGGACTGCTGCTCTGAATAATGATTTTTTAGAAACTGTTTCATGCACTTTTATACAATGAAAAGCATAGGATGCCTAATGTGTTCAGGTCAATGATTCAGGAACAACCTTAATTTTCTGTACTTCCTAACTTTTGAGTGTTCTATACAGGATTTCAACATTTAGATTGTATTACTGGTCTGTTTTAATTTAACTATGGTACCTTAGTTGAAGAAAAGCTGCTAATGAGATGCCTTATATTTCCCTTTGAAAGGAATGCAACATATCTCAACTTCATCAGAAACAAATGCTTTCTTTATTTAAAAAAATGTTACCACTTCTTAAAATCTGTTCTATTCAAAAAGGAATGGAGTTGAAACTGTTTACAGTGGGCATTCATAAAGAAACTGCATGCTTATCAGTGCCTGATTTCCTCGGAATTTTACATCAGCTAAATTTAAATTACAAAACTGTGGTATAATCTCTCTTGAAACTCAATTACGTACAATAATAATCTGGCATAATCTACAGAGATTCTTTATGACATTAGTCAGAGACATCCAACCCAGGCTCTCAGGTTTCGAGTCTCCTCCATTTTTAATATACAAACATTAATATAGATACTTTTTTCCATTTACCATTTTTCCTTCAACATATCACTTAAAAAAAATTGGAGATTAAAAATTTACAATAACCTCTCAGCACTTAAATAATGTTCACTTTTAGACTGTGAACGGGTCCAAAAGTGGTATCTGGATACTAGCAAACAGGTATAACCCCAATTCGTCTTAATCCTCCCACTGCAAAGGGTTTAAGGAAGGTAAGATTAGAGATTACAGTCCAAACAAATTCTAGGAAAGGATGACAAGCATTTCTCTAGGGAGAAACAGAAGAACAGATACCTTGAAAAACGGAGGAGTTCTTACCCAGTCATTAAACAGTACAGTCTGAAGATACTAAGGAACTGGGGAGCCTTAAGGAGTGCCACATGAAGGCTGAAAGATTTTATTTTTTTTCTTCAAAGTACTGAACATATAAATCAAACTTAAGACAAGAAAAAAATATGAGAATAAGATAGCATTCTTGTTATCTAAATATCTTTATGTACACAGACACATCTCCCCAAATTGGTTACTGGGACCTTCCAGGAGCTTCAACATATCCCCATTTTGAATTTTTTCCCCATGGATTCTGTGTCCTGAAAACCCTGCCAGCAGAAAATGAATGCAGCTATTTCTGAAATGTAATGGCCTCTTGAGAATGACATCAGGTTCTGCCTCTGCATTACTTTTAGTCTTGCCTTTCATGTTTTATTGTATATCGTATTTACCTGAATCCAAGATAACCCGGAATTTAAGATGACCCCCTGATAATTAGATTGCATATATGAAAAATTTACAAATTTATAATTTCCCATGTATAGAATAGAATTATTGAAAGGTCATCTTAAATTCATTGCCCCGCACTGCTGAAGCAGGGAAAGCAATGTTAGGGGAGCAGGCAGTGAGGGATACAGTATGGCAGGTACAGAGTGGGGGCAAGCAGCTTGACACTTGCCCTTTATAGTCCCACATCTTGGCCCTTCTGCCTGTCCCAGCACTTACCTCAGGGGTGGGCAAAATATGACCTGAGGGCCGGATCCAGCCTGTCAACTGACTAGATCTGGCCTGCGGCTGCCCCTACAGCACTTCACGTGGGGCTGAGTCCCACCCTCATCCACCGGGGCAGCCCGCACCATACTTCAGCCTGCGCCCACTGGCCTGGGCCCCAACCAGAGCACATAGCTTCCAGCAGGACTCCTCCCAGTGCAGCTGCAACCAGCTGGGTGCTGCTCTGTTCCCCTCGCCTCCAGATGTGCCTCTTCCTCCTGCTCCTGCCCCTGCTGCACTGCTCCAAGCCGGGGAGAGGTCTGGGGGGGATCTTCAGCTGGGTGGCTCCTGCCCTAGTGCATGGGGCTCTGGCTCCAATTCCCAGCTGCTTTCTACTCACTCCGCCCACTCAGCAAGGTGAGCAGCCAACTGCAGGTGGGAAAAGCAAGTGGAAGGCACCTGTGTACTGGGGCAGAAGCTGCCAAGCTGAAGCTTCCCCCCTAACCCGTCCACAAGCAGACAAGGGTGCATCCCTCCACTACACAGTGCCATTTTAATTACATTACCTCAGTTAGGCTATTTCTTCCAGGAGAAATTCTGCCTGATATTTGTCCAGAACCAAAAAGCTCATGATTTACCATATAGCTTATTGGGCTGTGCCCCAGAAGAGTCATCAGCATTTCAAGCCACGGTGACCCCACAGCTCACACTGCTCACTATGTGTCTGTACTCCAGATACCTGCACACAAAGGATCTGTGTGATAATTAGCCCTCTATTCATGACTGGAACCAGGCGTTCTAGACATGAGCCCCAGACCTGGGGCTCCAAAAATGTATATGCAGATGAAGCCCAGGACAACCTGGTCGCAGGGCCACACTAATCATATGCGACAGGCTGAGTGTCCCAGGGGTACAAGCACGGGGGCTACGCACCCCCAGAGGAGAAACCCGAAAAGTAAAGAGAACTTACCTACTTTAGGGCTCCAGACACCAGACGAGCGCTGCCGATGAGAAAAACCCATGTGGTTCATCAGCCGCACCTATATACAGCTGGGGCTGGTGCGTGACATCATGGATGATCGCCGGCCGGCCAGGATAAAAGCCGACACCAGCTGGGAGCTGGGGAGAGTGGGAGAGGCAGCATAGGCTGCAGATGCTCTCCATGCCAGCGGCAGTCAGTGCCAGCAAGATAAAGGAAGCTGTGATCGAGCAGGGACGCCTAGGGAGCAACAGCTGCGAAAAAGTCCCGTGCCAGTCACGGACAGCATCGGTGTGTGGAAAGAGACCCTGCTCCAAGAACAGCAGGGAAAAGCATGGAGGATGGTGAACACTCCCCATACCGGACACTTATAGACCAGGTCATGGGAAGAGAATTAACCCAGAGAGAGAGGTATGAGAAGCTCTCATCCGGCAGAGAGCAGAGCAGCATTGGGGGAATCAGCAGGGCACAGGCTCTAGGGCAGAGCCAGTATAACAAGGTGGTTCAGCCTGATCTTTCTTTTTGCATACCTGCCTTTTTTCTTTCTTTCTTTCTTTCCCTGGCGTCCTTCCCTTTTGTTTACTGCTGACCTGTGCCCATTCTTCAGTTGCCTCCTGTTTTATTTTGTTGTTTTATTTCACTTGCTTCTGACCCTTCATTGAGGGATCCAGGCGATGGCCATACAACAAAGGACCGCCCGCAAGAAGCAACAGACAACTGGCAGAGAGCAAGAGAGCCCCGCAGGAGAGGGGAACATCCATCGGCCCCAGGGTCCATTAAGAAGAGAAGTAGAACCGATACCTAAGATCGAGCAACAGGTAAGAGTCATCAAGACCGGAGGGCCGCTGCATCAAGATCAGGTGGCCCGTTGGAGACTGGCGTATGGAACGGGTGTAGGGGAGGTGGAGCCCCACGAATATCCATCAGGAGGATACCTTGAGGGACCGCCAATGGGAGACCCCACCACTGAAGAAACACTCAAAGTCATGGCAGGCAAGTTCTGGGATCTTCCCTGGAGTGATTGGGTCAGAGGTTACATGAAGCCTCCCCGCGCCCATCACCAGGCGCCCGCGCCAAGGCAGCACATGAACGGATACTTGAAGCAAAACAGGCACACTGAGAAAGGGGGCAACAGAGGTATTCTGGGTGAACTGTTTGGGGCCCCATTTGTTGATGTTTGCCGGGCACTTAAGGCTGGTGAAGAAGGGGGAATCATTGGAAGTGGGAAAGGAAGGCACAGCTCAACTGTGGGAGTGAAGAGGAAATAAGAACATATGCAACCTAGTGGCTCACCACTGCCTTCTGACAATGAAAGCAGAAATGGGGAGGCAGCCCTA